GCGGTCTCCAGGCGGGTGCTTTCAGGATGTCTGGAAGAAAGGAGGAGAGCACTGGGCTGGGAAAGGAAGAAGCGGCACAGAAAGGAACCAGATGGAGAGTATGGGAAAGACCGAAGATGTGCTGGCAGGCAGGGTGGAAACAAGCAGACTGGATGGAGGGGTGGTGAAAAAGCTGGAGGGAGTACAGTCAAGGTTCTGAGGAAAGTCTGAGTACTCCAGAGCTCAGAGGTGGAAGTGGAATGAGTATGGTTGAGATGGTTGGAGGACAGCAAGTTTTTTGGGGCAGCATTAGGGTAAGGATGGTCCTTGCTACTGGGTTCAGATTTCTATGACAGCCTCTCCCACATGCTCCCTGCTATCACTATCTAGCCAAAATTTGATGGACTGTAAAACCACATGGAGAGTGTAGCTCATACCCCAGGACAGGGGAGCACCAATGAAAGGAAATCTCCAACTGAAACGATGCTAATACAACGTGTGTGATGATCAAAGATGAGATAGGCACAACAACTCCACTCATAAGGAGCAACTTCTGGTTATCACTGGGACACTGCCAGCCTTCCCTCCTCACTGCTGACAAATCCCAAACAGAGCCAGTTATGGGGCTCTTCACTCTCTTCCCCTGGGAAGGATCTGCCCCTCCAGAGCACATCTGTCTAAACCCTTAAGTTGTAACTCTTCACTGCTTTAGAGTCTAAAGCCAAGCTTTAGCAGCACTGAAAAGTACAGATTTCCTAACTTCCTATTGGATATTTGCTGTGTGCTTTGAACCAGCAAGCTACTGAAAAATAGTAGTTTCAACTACATGAATGGTTGCCAAATTATGAAGTATGTTATCCACTTTTTCTGTCACCAACAACTGCAGACGTGACATTTATAATAATGAGGGAATTTGGTCCCGTAATTGGAGGGAGCGGAAACACAGTGCCAACGGTTTATTAAAAAAAAAAAAAAGAACCTGCAAAACCCCTCCTAACTAGATTTTCAATAAAGTATGTGCAACAGGTTTTATTGGTGCTTGTTAGCAATGACCTGCATATGTCATTTGTATGAGTGTGGCCCTATCAGACCCATGGTGATGAGACACATTTCACCACATTGTCCCTTCTATAGACTATTTATACACGAGGATGAATGAACTGACAAGACAAGAGGTGCGGCATATAGATTTGATATACTGGCATAAATTTAGGATGATCTACATTATTCATAAGTACTGAAGCCACAAATGAGATATGTAACAACATCCAAAATGAGTGTCAATAGAATCTGTTCCCGCAGCGCACCATCGTATATTCCTATCTGTCACATATTCCTTAGAAATTTCTCCTTCTAAGAAATCTGGTGTGCTCAGTCTGGAAAGCAACGTTGCCTTGGGATCTGTGATAAGGCTTGCCTGGAAGAACAGGCTTTCAGAAAACTGTCTAAAAAGGAAGTGGACAGAAAACATGAAGAATTTTCTGCTTCTGAATTATTACCTCTTTTTCCAACCCAGCTGTGTCTCAGTTGGGGACCCAAAAGTTATTTGGATCAGATCAACTTCTTGGTGTCTTAAAAATGGCAAAATCAAAACTAAACCAATTGAAATATCACCAGTCCAGGAGGCAGCAGATATGACAGAACTGACAAAATAAACTAATCCCCAGTCTATTTTTACAGACTGATGAGGCCGAGGGATGCAAGTCTACACTTTGGAATTCACATACGAGCTAAAACATGGGATATTTTGACACTTGCTTGTCATTAATGTACATTTTAAAAAGGTTTAATTTATTACAAGTGCACCCAGTGCAGGATTTGATTATTCTTTTTATTGCCATAATATCTCAGGCACAAAGCTGTGTGTCTAAATAAAATTTATTTATTTTCCAGACAGGTGAAACTGTTCACTGAGTTGTGGTTCTGTAGAAGTCAAGAAATGGAAGGACTGTCCAAAAGAGTGGTATAAAAATATTAAAGATTAATGACCACTTTCATGCCAGATATAAGCCAGAAGCTCTCCACAGCAGTCCTTAACCTCACATTTGAGAGGGAACTAAGTGTTTTCACCTGCTAAAATCTCAGTCAGGATTTCAGATGAGTGACCTTGACCTGAAAGATTTTGCTTCCTATCTGAACCATCCAATCACCCACAGCTATCTCTCTATTTAAATAAATACAGAAGTGTTACTGAACCACAAGTCATAAATAAGGTCTTGCTCTGCCAAGTAAAATAAAAAACGCTTACTGTCTTTAATAATTTTAATTTTACAATGTATCAATATTATTTAGTTTCACCACTAGGAAAATTTTAAGCACATCCTTTAAGATAAAAAGTATATAAATGAAAGCTATTTCTGGAAGTATCTATATTATGGTAAATTTAAAATAAGGAAAAAAAGGAAAGGTACCTGGAATTTCACTGAAAGTCTCTCCAAGGACAGACACTTGGAAAGGCAGATCTTGCTCTTTCAGCTTCATCAGAACTTTAAAGAAAGTTTCAGGATCTTTGTCATGTTCCCTTAAAACAAACAGAATTTATCTCAGCATTGTTTACATTTAGTTGTGGAATTATGGAAGGTTTTTTTATTTATCAGAACATTATTCTGCTAAAATTACACTTTTGGGGACTAAATTTATTTAAATAATTTCCCTCTTTGCTTCTCCCACATGGCTGAACACTTTCCTCAGTGCAACACTCGGGGTTAAATCTCAGTTTCATCAGATTCTTCTCTCTCTCCTTTGTCCTCAAACAATGCATTTACTCTTCAAATTATCAGCTTTGAAAGTGAGAAGGACTTTTTTACCTGAAGGCAAAATCAGGTTGAAAATGGGTAGGAAATAAAAGGTTTTGGGTTTTCTTTTTCTCCTTGTCCAAAAAATACATATACGACTTCCATTACAATTTTTTTTTTTTCCCCCAGGAAAAACAGATTAAACAAAAACTTCTCCTAAACCTACAGAATTTCTCAAACTAGAATTTTAGGAATTCATGCTATACTTATTAAAAGCTTCCAATCCATTCAGTGCTTTAGGTAAAGAAAGGAATAAACAACCATGATGCATTTTCTACCTTTAGATTTTTAAGATGTTAACTGGAAATTAAAACACAATATAAGAAACTTGTTCTTATTTATAATTTCAATTGAAGATAATATTAAAAGTTTGTATAGGTATGACACTCAATGACATGAAATGCAAGTTAGGTTATCTAAAAGTAAATCTATCCCTCAATTTTCCAGTCTTTACTGTTCTTTACTGGCACAGAATGAAAGGTTCAAACGGTATCACAAATGATTTAAAATTTCCAAATCAGTTATATTAAAAATGGAATGAGATAATTTCCTCACTCTAAGGTGAATATTATATCTTGCATTTAATTATTCTGCTTCAAATTATTGTATTTCAACAGATGTGCACCATATGCCTTTAAAATATTTTGGTTTTATTTATTATTTAGAAAATTCCATTCTTCCTGTATTAAGGGAAAAATCTATATCTCAGCTGTCCTGGTGTCTTTCTTCACAGAGTAATTTTGTAGAATGAAATCTGTAGGTCTCTCACACTACTATATAAAAGATTAATAATTATATCATTCAGGAAATCTAAAGCCAAATGACATCTGCAGCTCTACACATGTTAATTTCTCATTCAGTCAATATTTTTGGTTTAGGGAATTAAAATAAATTAATCTTATAATTAATGTGACTTCCCTAGGCTGAGAAACTTCCAGGAATTGTGGAGTTTTCAGAATTAGTCCCATTTTCTTAAAATAAAGCCAGACAATCATCACTTTAAGAAGTCCTCCATCCCCCCAATTTGTTTTGTTCCCAATAATAAGGAGGAATGCGCTGCATAAGTCTTGTAATTTTTTTCACATCTGTGAACCAGGAGTTTCCTTGGCAATTCCAGTAACCCAAGTGGATGCAAGGGGTTTGGAGGGTGGATTTCTCCCAGTTTCAAAGACCCCAGATCTGTGACTATTAGTTTGCTGCATCCTCACGCTTAAAAAGAGCCACCTGTTTCTGGTAGGTAACTTCTGTGCAGAAACTTTTGCCAGTATTGAGCTCCCTCCAAATGCCCAGCTCCAAGAGCCAACACCGGATCGCACGGATTTGGATTTGGCTGGAAGAGAACATCCCCGTCGTGAATGCCTGCAAGGAAAACTTCCACGATGCTGGGAGTTGGTGTAATTAATGACAGAATTTCCCCTGAGCCTCAGTTTCCCCTGGGCAGGCTTTAGAGGGTGCTTGGTGAGTGATGCCACGAGCCCACCCTGGCCGGGCTCGTCCCGGCGGACCGGCGCGTCCCCGCGCGCCGAGCCAGCAGACTCGACAGCCACGACGCTGACAGGGATCCTTCCAAGCTCTTCACAGCCCTGCTATCAGCTTCACAGTCACAAAAAGTCCTTCCAGCTAAGGATATGCTTTCCCTCTCGCTTTCCAGAAGAGACCAGGGGTCCCAGAGGCAGCCAAAAGTGGAGGATGCTGTTGGAGCCACATTGTCAAGGAGCTGGCAGGAGAACACGGAGCCTTACAGCTCGGCGAAGCCACATAAGCTGCACATATTTAGGAAAACTGATAGGAATTGGAAGTTGCAGCTTTGTTTAATAGGTGGGGAAGAACAGAAGGAAAATTTGGCACCCAGAAGGAATGCTGAAAGGGGAAACATTTCCTCTGCACTGGAGCCTCACTTGCGGGTTTTCTGCTGTAGGTGAACCTCCTTCCATCCCCCCATATAAAATGTTTCCCTTTTAGGTGACACTCCCACATTTTAATTTTGTGAATCTTGTAGCTTTTCTATTTGGGAACCTCATCTTAAGTGTATTTATCAGCTCCTGTGACTTCTCCACACCACAAGCATTTATTCTCAGTTAAGACCTCCAGAAACCTCCTGGCCTGTGCACCTACAGACTGCAGTGTATTATTATTCTTGCAGGATACTGAAGGTATTAGCTGCCCCTGGTAGAAAAAAAAAATAAATAGTACAAGACTACCTCTTAGCTTCATCAAAAAGGAGAGAGCTCTGTTTCTTGGCTGACATGGAGAAAATCATATACAATCCAGTCTGCCTTACTCAGCAACAACTGCTAAACACACCAGATTGCCATAGCAGTGATCGTGGAAAAAGATGAACACAATATGGAATGTCTGTTCTGTAAAGATCTGCTCAAAATGATGTGCACTTTTGGCTGCATCTGTTGCATTTTTGAGCTTTATTAAACAGTATTAATTATATATATTCCATTTCCTGAAGAAGAACTGCAAAACAGTATAAAAGCCTGATATTAAAATGCAAACTTTTCTTTTAAGATATTATGTTTGGGGAAAAATCAAGCTAATGTGACTCCAGGGTCTGGCTTTGTTGTTTAGTTGAGGTATTTGAAATGCCTTTGTATTCTCACTTGATTTGATACGCATCTGGTAAAGGAAAAATAAGAACTAGGCATGGTAAGAAGATGCTCTAAATTTCATCCTAAGAACATGAAAACATCAGAATGACCAAACTACAGCTGTAATGCCACAAAACAGGCACAGACACCACATCTACATTCAGATTTGAGAGTCCTGCCTTGGAAACATTCAATCTCCATGTTCAAATACTACACAGCCCTCATTTTTATCTGGGATTTGTCATTATTGACTCTAACCCACAATTTAAGAGAGACATCTGAAGTCTCTCTTAGGAACTGGCTGATATTTAGTGATCTGGGTAGGGGGATGTGGCCCAGGGTTCATCCTGATTTAGTGACTTCCCTTTGTAATCTGATATAAAACTTTGATAAGTGTCCTTGAGCAGGGAATGGGAGTGTGGTGGGAGCAGCACCCCCACTACTGAGTCTCCATTATTATCTCTGCCTTAGATTTTCTGCTCACAAAATGGGTGTGACAATATTATTTTTTCACTACAGAAGGATGCTGTCAGGATTAATTGATGACTTGACATCCCACTTTTCAGCCTAAAGTGATTTTAAAAAGCAACCTCATAGCACTATGATGATGCTCCTCTATACAACCAATGGCAACATTCTCCAAAACACCCTTCTGCTCTTCAGGGATTTTGGGAATTCAGCCTGAGCCCTCGAGCCCTACCCATTGGTGGGACTGGAAGCAGAGTACATGGACACCTAAACTGGAGTTATTCTCACTTACATCCCTGACCAGTGATGGGAAACACATTATTAAAGAAAAAAAACAAACAAACAAAAAAACAACAACCAGAATTTGGCCCTTTACATTATTCAATGAATATTCATCAATTGAATTTGGGTGAAATTCAGTAAGAGACCCATATGGTCTTCTCCGACTTTAGTTTAATTTTTTAAGTCTATGTAAACTTATCCTACATAGTGATAATCACAGTTATTTAGAATTTGGAGGAAGGCACATCTAGCAATGCAATTAGAAAGTGGAAGAGTTGCAAGCCAAACGACTTGCTCAAAGGGGGGAAATAAATGCAGTCTATTAAAAATATATATTAAAATCTGGGATTAAAACATTTATCAGCAAAAAAAAGAAATGTGCAAAAGCAGGGAAAAAAGTCTTAATGTTTGAGAAAATACTCCATAAATGCAATGTAATGCTTGTGAAAGCCACAGCCCTGTGGTGACATCTCTGTGAATGACAGAATCATTTGGGCTGGAAAGGACTTTGAAGACCATGGAGTCCCACCATTAAGGTGCTGCACATTCTGAAAGAGTTACAATTGAGCCCTGATAAAAGCAATATTAAAAGGGTTGATTTTAATCTTAGGACATTTGGCATGGGAGACTTTCAGCGGGAGAGAATCCCAAATTTTGCGGGCAGGTAGCAATATTTCCCTTTGTACAGTGCCTTAAATCCAAGGAGTTCACACTGGCTGCAGCTCCTTCTGCCTCCCCATTCCCCAAAATCACCTTCACATCAGATGGACAAATGTGAGAAATGGCACAAAATCCTCAGAAGCTGAAGCAGCACTTCAATTTTATATTTTTTTTAAATATTTGTTAAGACATATAGCAGAAGGTAAAAAATGGATTTCTACCTGCCTACAATGATTGATAGAAAATAGGTGCTAAAATAGGCCACTGAAGAATCACTCGTTATTGATGAAGCTGGGGAGAAATCATGGAGATCAGGACTGGTGAGCCAAGAGACATCCTGGGAGAAAAGAAGGGGACAGGGGACATTAGCCAGGAAAAGGCACGGCTGGAGCAGAGCACAGGGGAAGTCCATGAGCACAGAATCAATAATTAAAAATAAAGGAAATAAGGTTTTCAAGACACAGACCTTGATGTGGATGACACTGATCCTTTCATTTTGGGAAACTAAAGTAATGAGGAACAAGTCTGGCATCAAATAAAGCAGAGATACTGGGCAAAGCAATTCAAAGAGTAAGAAAAACACAAGAGGAGGAAAAAATATTAAAAAAATATTAAAATATTCCTGGTGAAAACTAAAAAAGTATGAAATAACTAAACACAAGGAGGAAAAGGATAAATACAAGGTAAATAGAAGACCTATACATACTCCACAGAGCTAA